CTGTGAAAATAGGTTCATGTTAAACATTTTGAGTTATATAATATTTTGGTAATGAAGTAGAAATATGTTTTTCCAAACATGGTATGAAAAATGATTACACATCATTTCCTTCTTCTGAGGTTTCGCTATCCGTTTAGATATCTGTCATGTGAATTGCAGAACCTTTTCACTGATGACAAAGGAGTTGCTACATTCAAAGGAATCCCATTCATGACATCTGCTGGACCATGCACATCTTCGATTCCCCGAGCAACCGTCAAGTGATTGCACTTGTCAGCAGAAGAATAGCTTCTCTTCATTGTGCCATCTTTGTTGGAAATGCATTGTTAAACTCGTATGAATACCGTTCTTTTCTCTTTCTCTTTGGGGGTAAGGTTAGCAGAGAGGGGTTTCCTCAAAAAGCATAGTACAAGGAAAACTGATTTTGTTGTACGTGTTTAGTCTATAGTCAAAAAGAGAACTTCAAAACTAAATTGGTGCAGATACATTTCTTCAAAATGCCGCAATAGTTATAGGGTTCTCGTGCATAAAGATATGAAAATGCCATTTTCTTCTCACCAATTCGTAAGTGATCGTAAATGATCATTTCCATGCTCTTATTAGTCCCCTTCTCCGACTTTTATTACAAACTCTTACTTATCGCTCCCTTAGCTGCTACCAAGCAGGAGCAAAAAAGGAATATGTTGAATTGTGACTGGAAACCATCATAACCTAGCCAACAAGTAAAATGAGTTCTCATTCTCGGATAATTAAGCTTTGACAAGGGAGAGGGGGGCCTTTCTCATACCTGGCCTTACATGAGCCTAATGGAGAAAAGTGTATGCTAAATAGTAGAAGACTTTTACAGAGAAAAGTCTGTGTCCAATAGGGAAAGAGTGCGATAAAAGGATGTCCATCAATGGTTAGCTCGTAGACGTAACTATTGGACCTAGATTTGTTGATGGATCTGGTCTTGTCGAATAGGGTATCAAAAGAGTATACATCTCCTCTATGATGGGGTTATGTTAAATAATGTGAAATGCAATTAATCATATGTGTAGTAATATCCTTTGAAATGATTTGATATGTTGGCAGTTTTTGGACCTACATATACTAGTGTAGAAAGATATTGGAAGTTTCTCAAATTCCGTACAATAGTATCTGCCGTATCACAAAATGCTAGCAAATATTTGGTTTCCAAGATTCATTTAGCCCAAATTGCATCTTATTTTTATAAAAATCGAATCGGATCTTCCTTCATGTATTAACAACTATACCACTTGGAGAAGGGAGATCCATTTTGATTTCGGAGTAAATAAACTATATTTCTCTTATTTTATTTCAAGAAAAATTCAGAAAAGTGATAATAGTAAGGATAATATGGGATCTTTTAGTTACGGTATTATTATATTATGATTTCTTCCCAATTAAATTGAAAATCCACTCTTCCCAATAAGCATAAACATTGTTTATTACTTATTTAGTAAAATCTCTTCAAGTTACGCCTATGAGAACAGCGTGCATTTGACTTAATTCGGATTTGGTTTTCAACCAAAAAAATAAGAGAATAATTTTAATCTTTAGTTGGTGCATGTAGTTGTTTCATTATGTATCAAAAAATGAACTTCTTTATATTTGTTGTATAAATGAACTTTTATACTTGTTAGTGTGATATAATTTGAACCTAAAAAGTTTTAAAAGAACATGTCACTTATTTAAGTGTGTTCGAATTGGGGTTTGAAATCAAATCTCTCCTCAGGAGAATAGATGGGGAGATTCGGGTGAGATTCAATGTAGATCCAACTTTCGATTCACTCGTGGGATCTGGGTGGTTTGGGGGGACCACCACAACTCCTCTCTTCTTGAGAACCCATACATCCCTTATCAGTGTATGGAACTATCTCTCGAGCACAAGTTTAGGAAAGGCTTACGATGGATACCTAGGCACCCTTCTGAATATTAAGTATGAATCATAGTTCAAATATTTCTTAATCTATTTCGTGTTCCAGATATTCGAATAAATATCTGACGAAGTAGAACCATCTCTATCAAGATGAGAGACTCATTCTCTATACTAGCTAGCTATCAATAGGATCAACTATAACAAGTCACACTCATACTTCGGAAATACAAAAACAAAGAAATTTCATGATCGAACTGCCCCAAAAAAATAGTACGGACTATTGAGAGGAGTCAAATCCCAATTTTAAATATTCTCTCCGATCCATATTATATGAAATATTTTTTAAAAAAATATTTAAAGATTACTTTCCACTATTATTCTTTTGATTATTTTCAAATGAAAATGTAAAGTAGTTAAAGAATCTCATTAAATAAAGGATAAAACATGAAAAACGTCCCAATAATTCTTTTGAACTTAAAACTATGAAAAAAGTTCCAACAATTTATCGCAGAAGTATAATAGTGCAGTGTAGGGGTGACAAATGGTTGGGTTGGATCGATTTGAATGGATTGAATATAGATTGAGCAAAAATGGTTTGGATTACAATCTACCCAGATAGAATATGAGTAAATATGGTTTGGGTAAAATGGTTCTAACCCATTTTAAAAAAATTGTTTTTTTTTAAAAAAAAATTACCCCCTCCCTCGGGAACCCCCCCCTCACCTTCCACCAACCTACCCCTAATTTTTTTTTGTTTTCCAAAAACAAAAAAAAAAAAAAATCTGTTTTTTCAACAAACAAAAAAAATTACCCCCTCCCCCGAGCACTGCCCCCCCCCCCTCCCCCACACCTTCCACCAACCTACCCCTAAATTTTTTTTGTTTTCCAAAAACAAAACAAAATTCTATTTTTTTTAAAAAAAATAATAATTTACCCCATCCCCTCGGAAACCCCCCAACCTTCCACCAACCGACCCCTAATTTTTTTTTGTTTACCAAAAACAAAAATAAATTCTGTTTTTTCAAAAAATAAATAAATTTACCCCCACCCCGGGCACTCCCCCTTCCACCAACCTACCCCTAATTTTTTTTTGTTTTCCAAAAACGAAAAAAAAATCTGTTTTTTCAATTAAGTTTGAAAATTAATTGAATTTTTGAAAATTAATATTTTTTATTTTTTTTAAGCACAATTAAGAATTTTGAGTGGAGGTGAAAACTAAGTGATCTATTATGGGTCAATATGGATACCCATATTTAACCCATTTTGACCATATTTGTAGGAGCAACTTTCACGTATAGAAAACATAAAAATCATATTTGTATGTTATAACTATAGTTTGCATAATTGCGCTCCATAGCAAATTTTTGGTTTGCTATGAACCTTTTGATTTGTTTAATTCGCTACAAACATCCAATTTTATACAAATTGTTCAGTTTTGTATAAATTAATTTATACATTGTAATTTGTATAATAAGATTTGTATTTGTATAATTATAAGTGTATAAGATGAAAATATATGTATTTGTATTTGTATATACACTTTCTCTCACTTTATACAAATATAAACACATTTTATACCGAAATGTATAAAATGGCTAATTGTAGACTGAATCAGGTGGCAAAAAAATGGGATGTTTGTTGCGAATTACAATTAAAATAAACTTTGGCTATAACATTTAATTTGAATTAATTGTTTGCTATTTCGTACCATTTTTTCTATTTGTAGACACTCTTAAAATAGTTTAAAGCCCATATTTAACCAATTAAAATATGAGTGATCCAAGTCATTAAATATGAACAAAATGGATTCATTTCAATAATATGGACTGAAATTGCCGCCCTAGTGCAGTGAATAGGCGGCCACAATGAAAGCAAACTTAATTGAATGATGGAAGGAGTAATATAAATGGACTGAAAATCACCATTGATGCTTCGTAATTATGAGTTCTTGAGACAACACATCTCTGTTGGTAGAAATTAATTGTAGCAAATTTTAAGCAGATTTGGTCCCCATTATAACGATTTTGCTGGATACGCTATCATTTATTTCCAAAATCTTTTTTATTATTTTTGCACCAGATATTCTGCATCATATTCCGCCATATAATTGAAATATTGTGACCTAAGTCTTTTTATTTTTATTTTTTCGACAAATAAAGTAATTTCATATGAATTTAAGTTATATACATGGATAATGTAATTATGAATTTTACATCATTAAAATAATCTCACTGTTTTAGCAAGTTGTCCGCCGTCTTACCAATTAATTCTGTGTAACGAACTATAGTTATCTTTTAATTGACTAATATTTTACCCTATTAATGTGTATATACAAGTTTATACAACTACTTACAAGTTACAAACATTAACACCTTGTTTGGATGGTTGTATTGCATTGTAAGTTTAAATATACAATGTTTGTTTTGATTGTTATTTAAATTCTATTATATTGTATCACTTAAATCTATCATTAGGTAACGATGAAAAGAACTATGTAACGACATGTTTAGTGTGATTGCATCATTACCTCAATATTTTCTTCTCATTTTGTCTTTATTTATTATTTAATAATTATATTTCATTTTTTACCCTACGTTTTCATTGTAGTTTTACCCCGTACCTTACTTTTTCTTGTAGATTTATCATTCAAATTATGGATGTGTGACATCATGAAACGACAGAGAACGATACAATCTATCCAAACAGTGTATTCATTAAAATAATACAGTATAATATAATATAATATAATAAAATACAATACGATATATTATGAAATAATACGTAACAATCATCCAAACAAAGTGTAATGTTAAAATATTGTCCTCTACCACCTCCCTCTAAAATATATATGTATAAAAAAGGAATGAGCTGGATGGAGGAATCAACATAGTGATATTGTTTTAGTGAAAATCAAATATGAAGATCACCAAATATCTGTGACAATCCCTTTCTTTGATTTTATTTATTTTCATCATTTTCCCAAGAAAATTCTCTCCATCTTTCCCTTCCTCAAATCACACCTTTTTAATTAGTATATATACACACACACCAATCACATTACTTTTATTTTGAACTACTTGATTCTTCTTGCTTCTTTCTCCCTATATATTTCGTGAAAGTGAAAGTGAAAGTGAAATTTCTCTGAATTAAATTATAGTGAAAGAAATGGAGATGTTTGCAAATTCATCATCGATTTCAAAGGGAATGGGGGAAGTTGTTGCAAGTGATGAACCTCATGTCTTAGCTGTTGATGACAATCTTGTTGATCGTAAACTTGTTGAAATATTACTCAAGAAATCTTCTTGCAAAGGTAATCACACTATTCAATCTTCTATTTATTTTATTCACAATTATGTGGTGCATTTTTTAGACTTGATACCAATGTAATGTTGAATTATTATCTTTCAAGTTTGTGCACTAGAACCACAAATTTATGCAAGGAATTATTAAACAAAACTAAAATATTACACTTCAATTTTTTGAACTTGCAAGTTTTGGGTAATGTCAACATCCTGCATATGGCAAGACCATGAATGGTTGGGGGCTCGAGTCAGAGTCATGTTCGAACATGTCACTTGCTTGATGGACTTAGTTAAAAAACAAAATTGTACATTTACCTATAGTTTTTGACATGATAATAAACACTTGATCTTAACAATAAGTTTTGCACTTCCTTTTCACTAAACAAAAATCTTCTATTATGACAAAGGGATTCAATAGTTCATATATCACAAAAAGTTATTTTCACCATATTTACATAGTATAAAAATAATTTTCTGGCAAAGATACCTCTCCCAAAAAACATAAAAGAAGAATTTTTGTACATTTTGCATTGAAGAAAGTTCCACATTCGAGGGTAAAAAGCGTCTCTATAGTCTATACATTCGGACACAAAATCTCTAATAAAATAAATATAAAGTAAATATCAATTTGGTACAGTAAATTAACTAAATTGATATTTACTTGTACCAAATCTTTTAAGTCAACCTTTTGGATTTGGCAACAGCTGTGTCTACGTAATCACACTACTTTTCTTTTGCTGTAAAATCTTTGAGAATCTTAATAGTTGTAGACTTTTTTTAGCCCTGGTACTTCATAACGTGCATGACTCAATTATTTTTCCTTATCCAAAAATAGGAAAATTCACATGCCTGGATAACATAATTATATATATTATATCAACATATTCTGTTTTTTGGTCGGGGATTAAACTGTTTAGCTATAATGACCATGTGTATGTATGGATGTTTATTGTGTTAAATAAATGTGTAACCAGTGACGGAATATCAGAATTTTCACTAAGAGGTTCAAAATATGAATTAGATGAAAACAATTTTTTTAAACCCTTCGACCTTAATTGGCTCCCCCTTAACACAAGTATTAAAGTATAAGTGAAAGATGGATCTATTTCATTGATTTGCATGTTTTGTTCAGTAACTACTGCAGAAGATGGTCTGAGGGCTTTGGAGTATTTGGGTTTGGCAGCTCATCAAGATAGCTCTACAAATAACAATGTGAGTCTCTATTCAGTGTATATAACTTAAACTCGTAAAGATGAAAATCTGAATGCAGGCTATTGCTAAAGTTGTGGTTATAATGAATATACTTTAATTTGTTGTGCAGGGCTCAAAGGTTAATATGATAATAACAGATTATTGTATGCCAGGAATGACTGGTTATGAACTGCTCAAGAAAATCAAGGTACTAACTGTTTTGTTAAAATAGTTATTCCTTAAGAATTTGAACTTAATATGTTGCTTTAATTCAATGCATTACAAGCAGGAATCGTCGATGATGAAGGATGTGCCAGTTGTGATAATGTCATCCGAGAATATCCCAACTCGAATTAATCAGTAATTATAACAACTCATCGACTCTTTATATATACTTCATTACTATGTAACATTGTCATCTGATACTGAACAAAGATTTGTGTAAAATTGACAGATGTATGGAAGAAGGAGCTCAAATATTCATGCTGAAGCCTCTGAAACACTCTGATGTCGAAAGGCTAAGATGCCAAATAATGCAATGCCGAGGATAGAGAGATATTAATATGTATTGAGTTATTATGAGAGTCGATCAGTCTAATGACTCGTGAAGTTAAATGTTTAATGTCTATTTATCTATCTTTTGAGATTTAGATCAAATCCCTGCTTTCATGAAGGAATCATATTTTCAGTTATGCAGAATTTACTTTTTACACAAAAGCTGTGGAGCCAAATTTGTTAAGGACTAATTCATTGTATGATAGCCTAGTATATGACTTATTATCCTCAAAACTAGATTTAAGTTAGAGATATATACTTGTCAGTGTAAAGATATTTTTATATAACTACTGTTGTTTAACCATTATAAAATTGCTAAATGGTCAATGCTCGAAAAGGAAGTGGTAAAGAAATATATTAAAGCATTTCAGCTATGGCTTTCCATCCCTTAGCATAAGGTCTACTTTATCTGATTCCTTTGCTCCACCTATTTTGTGTCATAGCTCATATTTCGAGTCAAAATGGTGTATTTAAGAGAACTGTAGCATTCAAAACTCGGAATGATAGGTAATACTTGACATAATTCGCACAAGTCCCTCAACATTTGCCAATTGAACTTACCCCGGCAAAAAATTGTAGCATTTAGACATTAGTATTTGTTAGTTATTCATCACATCAATCATCATAACATTATATCTCTCTTCCTTAACAGAACTTAGGAAAGTTGGAGATTCACAATCACCAAGTCCATTAGCCAAGTCCTACTAGGATTGATTTCCAGGTCAACAGTTTTCTATTTCTTAAAGAACAAAAAAACAGAATGGGGCATCTGTGCAGTTTACGAAAATGTTTGCCCCAAATCAAAGGGTCGAGAAACTCAACACCACTATTCTTGAACAACGGAATTTAATTCACTCTTTCAAACAAACCAAGTTACATGATTTGCAACAGCATATAGTTGAATAAGATTCTATTTTTCTTCCACCCGTGAACAAACAACAACTCAAAAATTATAACTGGTACTAGGTAAAGTATACACAAACAAACAAAATTGAAATACTAAACAATCCTCTGAAATTGAAAAACAAAAATGACAACTTTGTCTTGCTAGAGTATGGAGACAATCATCAAATTGGGGGTTACAAGAAATGGCTGTGGTGGTGATGATGGCGGTGGTGTCTATGTTCATCCCATCCTAAACAGTGCAGCAAAGGGTAACAGGCCATAAAGATGCACCTTGTAAACATAGAGAAGACAGAGGAGACTAGCAAGCAAGGACAGCAACAACATGCCAGTAAGGGATCATCATATGGATTGGCACCTTCCTGGTGGTGGTGGTGGTGATGGTGGTGATGACCCATCTCCTTCTTTATACTGACAAAAACAAAACAAATGATTACACAGTATTCAATTAACAAATCAAAAAATACCCACTTCCTTATATATTGAGTCTTGATGAAAAAGATGGAATTCTTTAGTATCAAAATGAAACTCAAATCAAGAAATTAAGCAAAGAACAAACATACCTTTGTGAGTTGTGAAATGAACCGTATTTCTTTTGTCTAATCGTTTATTGATTGCAAGCGGAAAACTTATACCAAAATGAAACATTAAAAAAAAAAAAAGGATTGAATTTATAAGACGCAATTTTTGGATAACTTAATAGCACTGTCCATCCAATTGACGTGGCAACACCTAAGTGGTAGATAGAGTTGACACTGGAAATTAAAATCTGAAAAAGCCCACATTTCTCATACGCGGATTCGTAATAATTCCATCCTGCTTCCTGGAAATGAACTTACCTTCTAACTTAAGGAATTGCTCTTTCCTTCTAACACTTTGTTTGGATGGTTGTTATGTATTGTTTCATAAATCATAATGTATGATATTGCATTGTATTGTATTCTAATGTATTGTTTTAATAAATATAATGAGTAGATTGTATCGTTCTCTATTGTTATATAATGTTACACATCTATACTATATTATATTAAGGTAACAATGCGATCACACCGAATCGATCGTTACATAAAATGTATCTTTTCATTGTTATCTAACTATGGATTTAAACGATATAATACAATAGAATTTAAGTAACAATCAAAACAAACATTGTATTTAAATTAACAATACAATACAATACAATATAACGGGTAACAACCATCCAAACAAGGTGCAAATATCCAAACAAGAGTTTTTCCAAAAAAGGCCAAATATACCTCCAAACTAGGGGTGTTCACGGGTTGGTTTGGATCGGTTATTGGTTAAAACCAAAACCAAACCAACTTAATCGGTTTTAAAATTATCAAAACCAAACCAAACCAAACCAAATATAATATACATTTATCGGTTTGGTGATTATCGGTTTCGATTTGGTTTGGTTATTCGGATATTAACCATACACAAAAATAAAAGAAACAATTCATTTAAAATGTGAAAAAAGTGCCAACAATCCATTCAAAACGAAAAATAGTTAGAATGACTTAAATTACTGAACTTTCGATCACTAAATTTACTATCAATAAAGCTTTAAAATTCACTATATTGGCCTAGAAGGAAGAGACAATAACATTTTTAGTCCCACAAAGAATTGTCATAAACAGTCATATACATGAAATCAATAAGATAAATGTTTCATCTTGGACATTTTTCCTTTCAATAAGTAAATTATAAAGAAATTTTAATGAAAATATGTATAAGATCTTTAAAATTGTTTATAAAAACAATATATTAAGTATGTATATTAATAAAATATATGTATATAATTCATCGGTTCGGTTCAGTTATTTCTTCGGGTTTTTTTTAATAAAACCGTAACCAAATCAATTACTATCGATTTTCAAAAATCTAAAATCAAACCAAACCAAATCCAAATAAAATCGGTTTTATTTTATCGATTTGGTTTAGTTTTTCGGTTTGGATCGATTTTTATCTAAACCGTGAACACCCCTATTCCAAGCCTTTAAAAATGATATACATATATCCTCAATCATACTTTTGGATCATTTATATTTTAAGCCAAATGGAAAGACACAGCACAATCTCAATGATTTATCCTATTTTATTTTATTTTTTATTCAATATTAAATAACTACATATACTAATTATTATGTTAATTACTCAGGAAATATCTTACTCACGCCAGATATTTTAACAAAACTAAGATTTTAACCTCAAAGCATGGCTATGTGGTATAAAATTAGTATGCCAGATGCATATCCTGCATTCAATTTTTTGTTATAAACATCAGGTGCGCAAAAGTATTTTCAGAAGATTCGTTACATTCAAAGGCCAAGAAGTGAAGAAAGAGTATATCCAGCCTAAAAGGGGAAGGAAAAACAAAACTATTGATAATGGAAAAAGTATTATAGCACAAAATAAGTAAGCATTCATATTTGAATTTGATGTATTTGGTTATCACATATGACCACCACAAGGATCTTTTTGTATCTTCTCTAAATTAGCATGCAGCCTAATAATCCACTTCACAATATGTTTGAAGTTTCAATTACTCAGCCTACAATTGTGATTGCCCCTAAGAACTAGACTTCACCGCGAAGCTCACTTGCTTGACTTCTCCGGCTATTCGTCAACAAGAGAAGCTTCAGAAAGATGCCAATCTTCCATGCAACATTGTTTCAGTTCTCCCGTCCAACTTGCTAATCTCCAACCACCACGTATTTCAGTCTGATCTTCTACGAAAAATAGAGAGAAAAAAAAAGGAGGTATAAATAGTATCTGGGCAAACTTCTTATGTCCATGCGTGAATGGGAGGTTGAAAGAACAACAGAAAATAAATATCATCATTCTCTTTTGTCCTCCTCAAGAACAACTTCTCCAAGACCAAACACATGATCTGCTGTAATAGATGCCTTCCTCTCCTTCCTATCCAGTTTAGACAGATCTCCTCCCACTATAACACTACTGCCTGTGAGGGACAGACCCTCCTCCTCGTCATCAAGAGCCTCCCCCGAGTATGCGTATCTGTGAAGTAGCAAAGAGATGCCAAATTAGAGACTATTTTACAGCATTGAGAGAATGACAGGATATAAAACCAAAAAGTGGAATATACAGATTTTCTAAGTTCCAACTTTCCTTTTCTCTCACCAAGTACAAACACTGTCACCACCAGAGAATTAACTTTTACAAACCTATCCCAACACATCAAAACCCAACCCTAAATACATTGGACAAACAAAACAGGTTTTCAATAGGCTTACTTAATCTTAGAACAGTTGGAAAGGCACAAGAACTATGTCGGAGCTTCAGATATCATTATTTGCACATAGAATTCATAATTACTCGTATTGGCTAGATGAAAGAAGATTCAGAGCTTTACTCATGCAGAGGATGTTGCATCCATAAACCTTCTTTGAATAATTTTATGCTAATTAGTTCGTATGACCATCTGTCCGTGCATTAGTTTCCAACTATATCAAACTGTTTTTCTGTTATAAAGATACAAGGCACTTTTTTGCCCATAAAATTAAAAGATGGGAACAAGCAAAATGCTTCATCCATTTTGATAAAACTTGTCAATTTAGGAGATGAACATCAAAAGAATCACTCACATCTTTCAACTCACATTGTTATACTTGTAAAAAACTAATTCTGCACAAACTATTTGTACAGACAAATAGAAATGCCAAAAATGATTCTGAAAGGATTCTTTATTTCCACCCAACTCCACATATTGAAGGCCAAGAATTTTTGTCACTCTTGAGCACTTTGTCTTCCTATCCTCAACTCAATATAGATCTCTTATAGTCATTGATAATGAATAGTGCATACCATCTTCCCCAGTAGCCCAAAGACTCACTTTGCAGCATCAAATCACAGTTAATCATGAATAGGTACCATTCTTTCCCTTTTTAAATGGTATCAGTAGCCATCACCAATGCATGTTTAGATCTTTCTATGACTGGAAGTAGGTTTTAATCCTCATTTCTTTACAGTAATCATCAGACAGTATCAATAGAAGCAATACTAATTATATTGGCAATAAAAGGAAGGGGTAAGGATGTTCACCTGGTTGGGTTATTCGAAGGAGCCCAGAGAATGCATATTACCCATAAAAGCAAGTATGCTAGTAATGTCCAGAAAGCAGGTATAAACCAGGCTCTTCGCCACAACTCACTCAATGGATCACTTGCATTAAAGTACAGCTGAATAAACAAGGAAATTAGCTTTCGTAGAGAAATCAAGAAAACTCAAACACAGTGATATGACATGAAGAGATGCAGAGCGAAACTTTTGGAGGAAATCATCAACAGCACAAGATATGCATTGTTGCATAATACAGTAAGTACTTAGAGAAACTTCCAGATACAGAGAGACTTAAAATATTGTGGAAAGAAGAAGAAACAGAACCATAAAAGATACCTCATAGCCAATCCAAGCAACAGAGAGAAGAACTGAAACAGCTAGAGAATTGGTAAATTTTCGGTACAGTTCAAGCTTGGCCAGGCTTCTCCGAACCTGAGGTCCATATGGGCAAAAAGGAAGCTTTCAGTTTACATACAAGGATGTGTGAGTTGTTGTCCTCTCACATTGAAGAAGATCAATAACACTTTCCAGTCAAAGAAATTACAAAACAACTTAAAACAGTTGACAATCATGTAAACCTTCTCCTACGCGTTAAGAAGAGTTAAAAAGAGTGTGATGGACTATTATTGGTTCTATTGGTGCAGTTCTCCATGTCTACCAGCCAGAGTTCAAAGGAATCAGTTACCTCCACCAAACAATAAAAAGAGAAAGAATATGATTATGATGAAAATGCAATATTTTCCTTTGAGCAAAGAAGAGATTGGGAAAGCGTGAAATCTGACAGTAAATAGATGATCAACCATCCTTTGTTTATTTAATTATTTTTTAAGAAGGTAAAACTGATCAACCATCTTATTTTTGTGACTAGTACTTTTTCACCAATCTATGACTGCTAGAATAAAGAGAAGGAAAGTTGTCATCACCTGAAGCTTCTCTAATGTTTTGGACAATGAGGAAAATATCCATACGATGAAGCAGGAATCTAATAAAGCAACAGGTAACACCAAAAAGATTCTCGCTTTTCCAGAGAAGTCATTGATATTACCCAAATGTTCAACCAGCTCCAAGGCTTCAGAAGCTAGAAAGTATACCACACCCAAAAGAAGTACCTTTGAGGTTATACCTCCCAGTGTGGGTCTTACAACACCATAGCCCATCGATACCACTAGAAGAAGTAAACGTGAGACAGTCTTCTTGATAGCACTGAAGGTAACAGCCCACATGGTGATTCCCATTGGCCTGCTTCCTGTAGCATTAAAATTTGCATATTCAAAATACCAAAGAGCCATTTCACACATTCCAAGACCAATCACGGCAGTAATGTGATAGTGCAATTGTATTATATCCTTCCAATGTTGCACAAACCGTAAAAACCACAAGAGACCAAGAATGAGGTATGCTAGAGACATCAAACCGTAAAATGTCATCAGTGGTGCCATCTTCCCAGGTAGATAGCCTTCTGGGTTTCTCCAAACAGTTCTACCACTAATTAATGTGCCCTTGAGTTCTGGATTGCAGAACATAAAATAGAGATAATA